AAGTAGACACACCTGGAATCAAACTTTGGCTCTAACCGTTTAACCATGTGACTGTATTAGTTCGTTTCTGTTGCTTATAACAAAATACTCTGAACAGGGTGATTTATAAGAAAACAAAATTTACTGCTTACAGTTTCGGCAGCTAGGGACTCCAAAGTCCAAGGAGCACATCTGGTGAGGGTCTTGGTGGTGACGACAGTGACACAGGGTATCACACTGTGAAATGGTGGAGCAGAGAGAGAGCAGAGAGACCAACCTCTACATTCACTCTCCTTTTAAAGCTCCCAGAACCACCTCCATGACTGCCATTATTAATCATTCACTACTTCATGGTCCTACAATCTAGTCAACTCTTCAAGGCTCCACCTTTCAATTACCATAATGGGATTTCCCACCCTCTTAACAGTCACCGTGGGGGCCAACTTTCTAATACAAGAAACTTCGGGGACACAATTCAAGCTTTAGGGAGTTTGGGAGGGACATAATTCAATCCACTACAGTGACCTTGGGTAAATGATATATTTACCCAGCATACCCTGGCCTCTGTATACTCATCCGTAGAAAGCAGAAACTACCATCTAACGGTGTGGTTGTGACGATCTCAGATACTACAGAGAAAGCTCTCTTCTCAACACCTATAGCAGATAAAAAACTAAAAAAAATGGCGTTATTTTTGCAGTTTTCATTTCCAAACACATTACAAGTATTATCTCACCACCTCTATGGGATTGTGACTAATATTACCATTATTTTGAAGACTAAAAACATGCATATGTAAAATAACTATGAGGTTAGGTTTTCAACCAATTTTAAATACCTAATAAGTTGGAGAAAAAACAAAGGTTGTTCATAAACTTTAAACTATATACTACCTCAATTTAGTCTGAAAAAATATGTACACAATTTTATGCAGGCGAAATTTTTTTTCTGTATCATTTAATGCCCAACTACCGAGAAATCCTGAGTTTCTGTTTATTACAGGGGCTACTCCACTCCCGTCTGAGGCTCCCCCAAATTTGATATCAAATTCACAGCTCTGGCTGCCTGCCCCCAGACAAAAAAATAAAGAACCCAAAAGTCAAATGTTGGTGAAAATGGAACTCAGCTTTTATTCAGGAATGCACACGACATGAGGAGAGATGTTAGGCTGACTCGTTTCTCTGGTACACCTGAAGGAGAGTGGCCAGGCTAAAGCCCTCTCAAAGACTCAGGTCTACTGAAGGGTTTTTAAAGAGCAGGTGAAAGAATGGAATATGGGAAATGAAAAGCAGGAGGGAAGGGCATGTAGCAGAAGGCTTCATGCAAGGTCTCAGGTTCAGGTCTTCCCAAGACTCCGTCTGGTTTCTGCTCCCATCATTATCTCAGGGTCTGGGTGGTATGTGCAAGTCTGCAGCTTCACGCTGGCTGGAAAACAACTTTACATTCATGTATATAATGTCATTATGCCCCGTAACCAATGTCCAAAATATAAAATAACTATGGAAAAAGAGGAAACTCAGAGAAATGCATGCCAAGAAAAAAACTGTTTTTTAAAATTTGCCGACGGCCTATGCGGTTTTAGGTCCCAACATGGCTTCAGTCCTGTTCAGTCCAACATATCCACCTACCATAGAATGTCAAAAGACAAAATTACAACTAATTTTGTTCAAAGATCTTAAATGGCCTTTATTTGCAATTCTAGAATCGGTCAACACCTCATTCTATAAAGTAGAATGTACGTTCTGATGAGCTGAGCAGAGGAGGCTGGCAGACACAGAAAACAAAAAGCAGGTTGCTTGCTTTAAAGTTACTTTCCCCATAAAGGTGAAAGCAAAAGGGACTTCCCTACCATGCCGGCTAAAACTAGCTTGTTGGAAGATCTGTTTATTTTCTCTCACTTTCCTAATATCTTGGGAGGTCAGTTAACCAGCTTAGTTTCAGCTTGGTGACACGGAACTTTAGTATAAGTGACTCCATTTAGGTTTGGTCTGTTGGGCTTAGTGCAGGAGCTCAGTCCTAACCAACAGCCTCCTGTAAATTTTATTTAATAGCTGAAAGGCCAAGGAACTTTTACTTAATGTACCATAACTCAAGAACATGTAGATTGGAAAAGAAGAAAGTGTGTGTGTGTGTGCGTGGATGTGTGTGTGTGTGTGTGTGTGTGTGTGTGTGTGTGTGTGTGT